ATTGAATTGACCATATGGTGATGTCTTGATCATATGGTGATCATTGAGGTCTATGTATGACCAAATGGTCACTGTGGTGACTATAAGGTTCAAAATTGACCATTTTGACCATGGTTGACTAAATGGTCTAGTTTGACCAATTTAGTGTTTTGGATTGACTAAGTGGTCCAATTTGTCCAAAGTTAACTAGATTAGGGTTTTTCATTACTGATCTGATCATTTTGGGATGTCAACATGGTTAAAACCCAAGAAGGGTATATTAGGGATCAATATAGTTTTTAGGGTTTTGGGGACCCTAGATAATTTCAAAGAGGTCAATGTAGGCAGACTCTTTGCCTTAATGATCATGATGATCATTTTTAGGTATTTATGAGTTGTCTGAGAATCCTGAGGCAAAGGTTAATCAAGGCATGTTTGTGGTCTATGAGTGTCATTTAGGTTCCTCGCAAAATTGAGGTCAACAGTGGTATGTATGCAAAAAGTGGAAGTTTAAGTGCTTGATATGTAATAACATAAGAATTGGGAGTAAAATTTCTTGGCTATAGCTAAAGACTAAGAACGCTTAAAAAGCTTCTAGACATTAATAGACTTCATCGCATCTAAAAATTTTTAACCTTTTCAAGCTCTTTCTCCCGAGCATAAGTTTATTCACATCGTTTGCATGAAAAGATTTTGTTAACTTAATAAACAATTGAAGAGCTTGCTTAATTTTCCAACTTATCTTACACTTGGCTATCTCCTTGCACCAACCTAAGTGCCAGTGCTTTAGATTATTATTTTTTCTCGACATAACTTGATGTATGAAAGTAATTCAACCCCACTACTAAGACATTTTATCACTTTTGTTGCAAGTCATCTTCAACTTAGATTATTTTGCTTCCTATAGAAAGACTTAAGAATATGCATGTAAAACATTAGGTTATGCTTGAGCTTAATTTGATTGGCAACCTTTCCCACTTGCTCAAGAATAACTTTAGCTATATCTTCTGGTATTAATTTATCAATAACATCATTTTCTTTCTGGTCAAAATTATAGTGAAACTCTTTATTATGCTCTGATCAACAACCATTACCAATATTGATTTAGACTCCAATTTTCTTGTTGGCCAAAAAATCCTCTAGCTCTTCATTATCTATACAAAATTTAATTACTCATGCATGTTTTTATTTTATAGCTTAAGCCATAGCATCTCCATCAAATTAAAGATTGGTCACTCCCTAAATAAATTATAGTTATACTCATGAGCCAAATATTACATTCATGCGAGCTCATTTACAATTCAGGTCGAGTCAAAAAATGAACTGATCTATGACATCAGATCAAAATTTAGTTGGATCTATCCATGATCTGGTTTTGTATGTAGGGTAGGTCTATGAAGTTTGTACTTAGCACTATTAAATTTAATGTTATACATGTGTACTTAGAGCATATAAATTCTTTGTTTTATATGTAGTACATAGGGTCTATGAATTTAGCTCGAAAAGTGACAATCACTCAAAATTTAATTTTGGATCAGATTTCTTTCGAGCTAATCTTCAATCCACTGAAAATTGAATTGTTAAACATTCTACTGATGTTAGGCATTTCAAAGATTGTTAATCATTTTAACATTGATTTTAAAAAAATAATTGAACTTCATCAACTAAGAATTAATAGATTGTTCAAATTAATATTTAGTTTTTTTTTTGTTTTTGGTTTGTATTTAAGTTAAACATATAGGTTAAATCAATTAGGATATCTTCATCTAAGATAACTCTCCTCTAATATGCTTACCATTGCAGCTACACCAACCCTATCACGGATATATTTGTTTCTTATTATGTTACTACTTTAAGGCCAACTAAATATTAATTTGAACAATCTATTTATTCTAAGAATATGTATAGAAGTGTGCAATTAATCTAGTAAATAGTATTAATTTGAACAATCTATTAATTCTTAGTTGATGAACAACCATTACCCTCTAATATGCTTACCATTGCAGCTACACCAACCCTATCACGGATATATTTGTTTCTTATTATGTTCGTACTTGAAGGCCAACAAAAAACCTAAGCATTATTGTCTCCCTAACTATTTACTAGATTAATTGCACACTTCTATACATATTCTTAGAATAAAATAAGTCATATGATGTAAGAGTATTCACGGTTTCCTCCAATAGGAAATCAAATTTCAATAACCAAATTCACTTTAAAATCTATTTTTTATTGCCTAAATGGAATTTCACTTTGAAGTGAACTTTCATTTTGGTAAAGGATTTAGATTTCCCAGGAAAGATTGAAGTGAACACTTGCAACGTGTGAGGTATTTTCTTCTAAGAATATGTTTAAAGGTGTGCAAGTAATCTAGTAAGAGGTCCAAACTCTTTATGATTTACTAAATGCCACTCAAAGGCCACAACGGCAGTAATGCACTTCCCATTCTGAGTTATATGTAGCTCATAGAATAATAAGATTACAATAGTGTTTAATATGTTGTGAGATTACTTCAATTAGTTGACAACATTAAAGAGAAGGGAAAATTTAGTTCCAAAAGATGTGTACCAGAAAAAAGAAGTGGTCTCAAAGTTAGGGTTGAAAATAAAGACGATTAATTGATGTGTGAAGGGTTGCATGTTGTTTTATAAGCCTGACGCAGTAGAGACTCACAATATATTGTATAACTATCCAAGATTTAAACTTTCAATTATGAAAAAATAAGAGGAAGAAAAAAGATCTATACAAGCTTCTCTTCTATCAGCCACTTATTTTGCATCATCATAGACTATTTTCTTCTAGGCATACTGCTCCACGTATGACTTGTCATCGTAACAGGTTAGGTTATATCAACTCAATTAATCAACCTACAGATAGAGAGTCTTGGAAATGTTTTGATCATGTTTATCATGAGTTTGTTGTGAAAGATCACAACGTGAGATTTGGCTTATGATCTAATGGCTTCTCACCGTACAGTCATACCACGTTACCCTATGCTTTTTAGTCAGGGATCATTACCTCAAATAATCTTCCCACTGAGATGTTCTTAACAATGCTTTTCTTATCCATGACCTTGATTGTATAAGGTCCTAGTAGTTCTAAAGGTTAGATAGATCTATATTTGTAGTCATTGATAGATGAGCTGCAAATTCTTTGTGAAAGAGTTGGCATGACTTTTGATGTTATCATGAAACATAATTTTTTGATGAAAGTAGCATTAATGTGGCTAATAAGTGATTTTATAGCATATGAAATGGGTGGAGCACTGCGGGTAAGTTAGCATATTCATATTTCACAAATTCATCTAAAGAAATTATGCTCCAGCATGAGAGGAATTATTCATTGTTTGACTATCACATTATGTTTTTAGATGTTGAACATCCCTTCAGAAGGAACCGTAATGTGTTCAAAAGAAAAGTTTGGAAATTAATATCTCATCATATAGTATCCAGGGAAGACTTATTTAGATTGTTAGTGACATTTTAAAGATTATTGTTTGTCTTGAGCTATCTTCCCATCATCCATCAAGCTTTAGTGTTACTCATAATTGGCCGAAGAATTCATTTTTTTTTGGATCTAGCTTACTAGAAGAATGACATGATCAGACAGAAACTTTGATAAAAAACTCAACATTATGATGTGATGCATACAGAGAAAATTTTCTTTGATAATATATTCAACTTTATGATGGATGTTAAGGAAAAAAATAAAAAAAATTGTGAATGCCAAACTAGATTTGAAGGAGATTTGCAGAAGGCGAGAGTTGGAGATTCAAGAAACTATTATTGGCAATCTTTTGAAGCCTAATGTAAAATATTCCCTTACTTTGGCACAACATAGATCAATTTACGAGTGGCATCAATAATTAAAATTCCCAAGCAGATATACTTCAAATTTGAGTCATTGTGTTGATGTGATGGCATGAGATGCTTGGAATAAAAGACCACAATTTGCATATTTTTCTCTAAAATTTGATGTCACCCATGTTTAATTATTCGCTAAGTAAAATTTCAAATATGTTGATTGAAATTAGTTTGTTCTTTAATGAAAGTTGTACAGCTTGTTTGAATATTGATGATATACGACACTTAGAAGCAAACATTACAATAATATTATGCAACCTTGAAAGAATATTCCCATCAAGTTATTTTGACTCCATGAAGCATCTGCTGGTCCATCTACCACATGAGAACTTACCTGAAGGATCATTACAAAATCGCTAGATGCATTCATTTGAGAAGTACATACTAACACATGCAAACTATATAGTTACGACTTCGTAAATAATATTGTTAAATTTGTGCAAAAAAGTAATTTTTTTATAATTTTTTGAATAAATTTAAGTGAATTGTGAAGAATAATGAACAACCAAAAGGCTCCTTTTGTGAGGCATATTTACTGCAAGATACCACCACTTTCATCAAATTATTAGATTCATGATTGTATATTATCAACATAATTTAATTGTTTACAGTGTACGCTTGTGTATTTCAGTTTTAGTAGTCTATAGATTTCATGCAATTTATTGTTGTCTTTCTTTTTATTGCTTATTTTTGTATTTTCAGTTTTAGTAGTTTGCAATTGCACAATTTAATTTTATTTTTTCTATTTATAGATGGCTTCTAGAGAGGGACATGCTTCCCCTGTCTGGGGACTTGGTGACTTGTGAAAATTTGCCAGTAGACGAGGCCGTAGACGCAATGCCATGGAGGCAAGCATCGTGGTCGACTCGCCCCAGCATGCCTCCACCTCCACTACCACCACACCATCATTACATCAAGTCACAACCACGACACCAACATTGCCATAAGGCACGACCACAACATCACCACCACTACCAGGACATCGACGCCATCACCATCACCTATTATTGATGTGTCGTAAACTTCGAGTAGCACATGCTACCATCATCTGCTCCGGACAGAGGGGGAACACATGACTTTTAAATTAATTCTTAGATTACTAGTTTATGTTTTTTTTAACTTTATAGAGAATTAATCATATGTTATTTTCAGATTTTTCTCCCCTCACGCAGGCCATTATTCAGAGCAAGTACCATCACCCGTACTTATCTTGGAGGGAGATCCTAATAGAAGTTTGAAAATTTTGGTTTTGGGAGTTTGTGGTAAACCCAAAACTCATTAATATTTTTTTATATATTTATGTTTATGGATCTGAGTTTTCTAATTCAATTCACAAAAATAGTGGTCCTAGCTCCTTGAGGAGGAGGAGCACATCCAGAGGAACATCAAACACAAGATGAGCGATCTTCTTTGCGACCAATTCAATGATATACGCTGGACATGTAAACATCCGTGTGGCTTGATGAGGATATGTTATTTTACTTTCTTAGGGCGTGAGTATCATAAGAAGAGGGAACAAGCTAATAAGAAACACCGCATTGACTACGAGGGCATGGGGGCCTCAAAGCACACTATTAGGGAGCTCATACATACATAGTACAAGAAGAGGTTGGTAAGACTTATTTCTAAATTAAATATTATTTTACATTAAAAGTATGTTAACTATTTCCTTAGAATAACAAATTCTAGAGAAAAGTTGGGAGCCAACAGTGTGGATTACATGAGCTCACTCACAGGCGGGAGACAGATCTACCTTGGGTGTATAATAGATCCCTGGTGACCTAGGTAACTCATAATATTAATAAATATAAAATTCAAATAAGTATTAAAGTTTATTTTGTTTCTAACTTTTGTTAATCATATTTTTTTGTAGAAGGTCTTTCATAGGCTGAAAGAAAGCCAATCCCAGCAGTCAAGCGGTGGTTCGAGCACAATCTCACGACCCTTCTCAATACAACCTATGAAGGGAGGTTGTGAGTGGCAAGAAAAAGGGCAAGGTCTCGGGTTGGGGTCCCAGCCACCGTTCTATGATGCATGTCCGACCTTTAGCACATCTGGTGCTTCTACTTCCATTGAACAAGAGGAGGAGATTCATCACTACGTTGCTACTGAGGTTGCTGCCCAAATCTTCACCTAACTAGCCACCCTTAGAATCAGAGATAAAGCGGAAGATGAAAAGAGAGATCGAAGCAATGCTACATTCAAAATTGCAGAGAGAGAAGAAGATAAATCTGGATGACAATGAGAAGGATGGTGATGAGGAGTGGACTAATGAGGATGGGTAGGAGCAATTTTTTTATGTTTTTAAATGTTAATGATTTACTAGTCTCGAACAATACTTTTATTAGACAGTTGTATGTTGTTTCATCAAATGAGATTATTTTTTTTTGTTTTTGTATATAGTTTATGTGTTAATTAGTTTCATTATTGAACTGCGATTTGTTGTGTGGAAATTGCACTGTTACGATTGTAGGTGTGTAAATTGTAGTATTGAAGTAGGAATATAATTTTTTTTTATATTATAGGTTTTCGATGTCTTACTGGAAATTTTACGACTTTTTGATTAATTTTTCATTGCTAGTCGACCCACAATTGAACAAGAGGTGTTTTTACAATGTGTTGCACATTTATTACGGATACAACCATCGATAATTATCTACTGTCAAGTTAAGCATCTGAAAAACTTAGCCGATCAAAGCACGACACTTTTTCAATGGAAGTGCAACACTTTTATAACAAACATATTTGTCGGTTATATTGCCGACGGACACTGACGATTAAACATGGTGTGATTTTGAACCAATATGGATGATTGATATTCGTCGGATAATCGTCAGTGTGAAAAGAATTGCCGGTAAATCCATAGGTGCCACGTCAAATTATCTACAGTTTTAATATTATTATTAACAGTATTTGAGGGTCTATAGTAAGCTAAATTACTTCAGTGTTTCATGTTATTTTAAAGCTTTGGTATATATATGATCGGGATTGAACCAATAGGGTGAGTTGGGGAGCTCACGCTCTACCCATTATATATATATA